ACAGAGACCATTTTACTTCTACTGATTTTTGTTTTCTTGCCCATTTGCTGTCTAGAAAATACACTATTGAATAAAAATAGGGGAAAGTTGGAATTGAGTTTATTCATTTTTTAAATCATAAAACAGTTTTGAATTTTGCTAGATGTTCTTTCTGTATCAATTAGGATGACCATGTTAATGGTCAGAATTAACAAAATGAATTCTGTTCATGCGATATGTTACAATGGCTGACTTTCCTATCAAGGATAACAAACCATCCTAGCATTCTAGGAATAAATCCCACTTGGTCATGGTCTATGGTGGTCTCAATTTGCTGCTGAATTTGGTTTGTTAGTATTTTGTGGGGGATTTTTCCATTAATGTTCAGTAGGGAGCCAGGCATACCTACAGTCTTAGACACTTAGGAAGCTGAGGCAGGAGGAGATTGAGCTTAGGAGTTTAAGACCAGCCTGGGCCACATAGCAAGACTCTTAAAAAAAAAAACCATATATGTCTGTAGTTTTCTTATAGTCTGACTTTGGTATCAAGGCAATGCTTGCCTCAGAGTGAGTTAGGAAATGTTCCCTCTCAATTCAATTCAATTTTAGAGAAAAGCTTAAGAGTGGTGCTCCGTGTTTGGTAGAATTCACCAGCGAAACAATTTGATTAAAAACTTTTCTTTGTTGGGAGGCTTTTCCTAATTAATTCAATCTCCATACTAGTTATATCTATTCAGCATTCCTTCTTGATTCAATTTGGGTAGGTTTTGCTTCTAGGAATTTTTCCATTTCATTTAGGCAATCCAGTTTATTGGCATACAATTGCCAAAAGTATTCTCTTTGCAATTCTTTTTATTTCTGTAGCATCATTAGTAATGTCCCCACTTTCATTTCCAATTTTAGTAATTTGAGCATTTTTTTCTTAGTCAATCTAAGGTTATTTTCTTTATAGTTTTGAGACAAGTTGTTGATACGTAGTGTAGCCTTGAACTCACGATTCTCCTGCCTCAGCCTCCCAAGTGCTAGGATTATGGGTGTGCAAAACATCCAGCTTTCTTTTGGTGGTGGTGGTAATGGTAATGGATTTGAACACAGGACCTCATGCTTACTAGGTAGGCACTACCACTTGAGTCATCTCTAAGCCCTGTTTTTTTTTAATTTTTATTTTATTCATATGTGCATTCAATGTTTGAGTCATTTCTCCCCCCTTCCCCCGCCCCTGTTGGTCTTGAAGCACAAACATTTGATTTGACTTCCTGTCCCGTCATTTTTCTATTATCTATTTTATGTATCTTTGCTTTAACCGTTTTTCTTCTGCCAGCACTGGCCTTCATTTGCTCTTTGTAACTCCTTAATGTATAAATTTGGTTTTTGATTTGAGATCTAATTTTTTTCGGTGGTAGTGAAGTTTGAACTCAGGATGTCCCACTTGGCAGGTCCTCTACCACTTGAGCCACTCTGCCAGCCCTTCTTTGTGTGTCAGGTATTTTCAAGATAGGGTCTCACAAACTGTTTTCCTGGGATGGTTTTGAACCATGATCCTCCTGCTCTCTGCCTCCTGAGTAGCTAGGATTACAGTCACGAGCCACCAGCACCCAGCCGGAGATCTAATTTTAATGTAAGCATTTACTTTACTTTATAGCATGTCTTTTTTGTTGCATTCTGTTAAGTTCTGGTATGTTATGTATTTGTTTTCCTGTGACTCAAGGTATTTTCTAACTTCCCTTGTAATTTCTTTTCTGACTCACTGTATGTTGTTAGGCAGAGTGTGTTGCTCACTAGTACAGTGCTTGCCTAGCATGCACAGGGCCTTGGGTTGGCTCCCCAGCACTGTAAAAAATGTTTTTGTCCCACATATTTTTCAGTTTTCCAGGTTTTTGTTATTGATTTTTAAAAATTTATTAAGACTTACTTTATGGTTTAGCATGTGGTCTCTTCTTGAAAATGCCTTAGTCTTTTTCTGTCTTTTGTACACACTATTGTTTGTCCATCATAATTGCTGACCCTAGATGTCAGCAATAAAGCTGTGAGGTAAAGGGGGTAGAGCTCGGTAATAGAGCAGGGGTTTAGCATGTATGAGGCCCCAGGTTCAATCCCCAGCACCAAAATAAAATAATGCTGTCTGTGGTCTGACAGGCTGCTCGTCAGAGATGATGGAGCTGTGAAGTCTGGAGCCTCAGCTACCTGTTCTCTTACGAGTGACAAAACTGAGGGTTCAGAAGGTTTTCACCAAAATTACCCATGGACCTGAGGGCCTACTGTCTACAGACACTGAACCAATACATATTCTTACTTGAGAGTCTGCCCTGTGACATCAGCAATGGTCACAGGGAAGGTTCATTGAATAGATGTGTACTGAGTATCTACATGTTCCAGGCATGAGGCCAAACTGAAATGACCCCATCTGTGCAGGGCCTGTGTACTAAGTTGGGCCTGACCATTCTGTTGCCAAAGATCAGAAGTGTGGCTAATCAAATAGTGTCTGATGCGTTAGTGCCTATTTCATAATGGCACTAACTTGTCATCTAAGCCTCTATATTAGGTTGACTACATGCTTCATCTAGAAAGCACAAAGGGTTTGGATGCTGAAGCACCATAGAAAAAAACTCACTATCTCTGCAGGGCTGGATTCTATGTAAAAGTAAGGTCTAAGGAGGACCATTGTACCTACAGCACAGAGAGATTAAGAAGGTTACCTTCCTCAACCAAGAGGGTGTCCAGGAACAACTTAGTCTGGGGTTGTTCAAGGAGATCAGCTGCTGGGCCAATGAAGGCATGAGGCTGCATTCGTTCTGATTGGGAACAGTAAGGGTGGAATTACAGGGCACCACCTGTTACACCTGCCTCTCTAGTCAATTGTTGCTTGAGGCTCATCAGGTTGGATTTTTGCACATGGTTGGTGCAAGGGACAAAGCCCACACAGGCACTGCATTGACAACTGCCTAGGAGCTCCCTAGCTCATCTAATCTATCCCTCAAAACCATCATGAGACAAAACAAGACAAGGCACATGGCCTCGATTTGCAAATGTGGAAACTGATGGCGAGAGAGGCAAGTGACCTTCTATGTAAGTCAGGGATCAACACAGAAGCAGAACCACTATGGGATGGATAGAGATAAAAGGTAGCAAGAGATGGAGGTGTGGTTTGAGCAGCAGAGCACCTACCTAGTAACTGCAAAGCCCTGAGTTCAAACACCAGAACTGCCAAAAAGGAAGAAAAAAATTATCAAGAGATTTAGTACAAGGAATTTCCTTACATGGTAGGGGTTGGTAGGGCTGGTTAGACAAATCTGAGATCCACAGGGGAGGACATCAGGAAGGAAAGACTGGAATTCTCGGTCACAGGCTAATGGCCTACCCTACATATAAACTTCTATGGAGTCATTCATTGTACCATGGACTACCAACTTCCCTCTTTAGCACTGAAAAGAGTGTTAGAAGGTCACATGTTTTCTCTCCTATGTGAAGGTAGATCCAAATATAAATACAAGCATTATCATATATACATATATATTCAAAAGTGGGAGAAGACTTAAGGGAGGAAGAAAAGAAGAATGATAGTAATATTGAAATACATCACATCTGTGTAGGAACAAGACACAGTGAAATACACTGAAAACTGTTGAACAATAGTGGGTAGAGGGAAATGGGTGAAGAAGAGTAATAGAGGGGGTTAGACTGATTAAAGTATAATATATTTACAGGTAAAATACCAAGGCAAAACTCCACCGAACAATGAACAGGCACAAACAATGAAGGATAGGAATGTAAAACAGGTCATGTTAAGGGGGAGGGTAAATGAAAAGGGTAAAGGATGGTGAGTATGGTTGAGGTACTCAATCATGAATACGGAACATGGAAACCTGCTGAAGTCATTTTAAGGAAATGTGTGAGGGAAGAGGGAGAATAATGGAGGGAGATGAACCAAACCAGGGTAAAATATATGTATTTATAGAAATGTCACAAGGAAACCCTCTGTATAACTATCATATCCTAATAAAGATATTTTAAAAAGTTAATTGAAAAAAATAGTGTCATTAATGAGAGAAGAATTTGAGAAAACCTACAGCCAATGCCAAAAATTCATCCTTAAAAGATTCTATTCCTTTGGAACCAGTACTCGTAACAAAATCTACACCAGTAAGACCCAACCAGAGACAGAACCAGTAGGATATATATTAAGAGATTCATTATGAGGAACTGATGTCAGTGATCATGGGGGCTGTCCAGACAAGTCCAATGGTTACAGGGTAGGCTGTCAAGAAAAGCACGTTGAAACTCTCATCAACAGCTGGAGCTGCTGTTTGCACAAAGAATTCCTTCTTCCTCAGCGAAACCTGAGGTCTGCTCCTTAGGTCTTTCAACAGATTGAGTGAAGACTCCCCAGGTTTTATGGGATAATCTCACTTAGCCAACTGGTTACTGACTTTAATTGACGTTTATATGACATCTTCACAAGAAGTCACACACAGTGGTACATGCCTATAACCTCAGCTACCTGGGGGCTGAGACAGGAGGCTTGCTTGAGCCTAAGGACTCGAGGTCACATACTGAGACCCCATTTCAAGAGACCCCAGACCTTTACCTTACACCCAGTCAGTGTTCAACTGAACAGCTGGGGACTGTGGTCAAGCCATCCAAAGAACATCCTACCTGCCCATAGCCATACAGCAGGCTCTGTGGCTCCTCACCTGCCCTTGTCCTCTTTCCACAAGTACTGACTCCTGCACTGACCCCCTAGAAGCCATCAGCATGTTGGGTTTAGAGCAGCTGATGTGTCTAACTTCAAACCCACTTGAACAAACAGTATCTGGTCACTTTTTTTTTGAAGTAAGGTAGAATACACAAAATACAACGAAGCATTTTTAAAGTATATAATCCAGTGGTATTTAAAATATGTGCAACGTTGTGCCACCATCACTCAAATGTAATCCTAAAACATTTCCATCACCCTACAAGGAAACCCTGTACCCATTTTTAGCCGTCATTCCTCCACTGTATCTCCCCCACCCACTGGGCATTTTAAAATCCATCTGGGACATTTTTAAATGCATTCGTTGGGGGTAGAGGTAACTGCCCCTTCCCACATTGACAGGCAGGGGCTGAAGTCAGGTACTCATTCAGGATAGTGGGCCTATAGTTGGATTTGACAGCTTCAGCAAGCTCTCGTGCATACATCTCATATCTGCCAGTCATCTGAAAACAAAAACAGACAGAGGTTCCAGTTTACAGATACCTATCACTTGTTACCATCTCTTGCCACTGGGGGGCAGTCATGGGACAGAAATGGGTCAGGCAGATTGGTTGACTGGACAGTTTCACTCTGTAGTAAAGAGAAAGAACTCTGTTGTGACTTCTCTGCACTCATTCTAGTGAAACGCATGGATGCCAAGATCACTATCAAGCCAAGCCCAGACTGCTGTGACATGTTCTTCCAGGAGGTGTGGTCCAAAAGGAAAGAGCAGTGTCTTGAAGAACCTCAGCCCAAAGAGGGGAGGGGAGTAACCTACTTCAGATCATCAGCCAGGAGCACAGAAGGTGAGGAATTCAATCCCAGAACCTCTGGTCTGAGTCTGAAGTATGTTTGCTCCACTTGGCATCTCATTGTGGACACAGATGAAGACTGGGGTGAAGAGCTGGAAAGCCCACACAGGTTGCTCATTCCTAGGCATGCCCTCCCTTCCTCCTCTACAAGCTAGCTCCTTCCAAAAGCTTGGGCATGAGCTCACACCCATCACCACAATTGGGAAGGATTCTGTTTTGAGAAAGTGTCTGATGAGAAAACATTCTGCTTATTGTTCCTGCTACTTGGCCAGAAATCTTGGTTGTGACTTCTGAGTTAGGTGGAATCCTGAATTAATTGAAGCTGCTCAAGAAGAGGAGAGCTAGATCAGGAAACTTGGTGATGCGCAATCCTTATTTGTCTAACAAGGATCTGAGACTGGGGGATGTGACCAAGCACCCATGCTCAGGTAAGCAGGGGAGCAAGGCTTTGAATCCATGTCTAACTAGAATAGAACCTTGGATTCCTCCTAGTTACACCAAGCAACACCATTCAATCATAATACTGGACAGTCATTGGCTGTGATCTGCTTATAAATGGGGAAATACTGCTGGACATGATTATAAAAATCCTATTAGCCATGAGCCCTTCCAAGTGGTCCCAGCCTTGGCTACCACTGTCCCATCCCAGAATGGCAGGTACCTACAGTCCTCTCCGACTGCTGCCACCACAGGGTGTTCAGTCTCAAAGACCATAAAGTTAGTCCTTTTGTTTTGTAATTGGGAATCCTAAGGCTTGGAAGCAGAAGGAGCTTGCTTAGGGAAACCAAGCAAGGCAGAAGCAGAGCCAAGCCTAGATCCGGTTTCTCTGTGTGACCCATTTCCCACTATTGTCCAGGCCTAGACTATGGAGCCTGGCTGCAGACAGAACCAGACACATGCATTTATCTTGCGACAAGTGCAAATGCCTGGAAAGGAAAAAGGATTACAGAAGCCAATCCACTTTATTCTCTGGACAAATGAAATTGAGATTAATTTGTGTGAAGGCGCCTAGAATCTAAATCAGATGAGAGGAAAATTTGAGGCCTGCTGCTTGTGTATCATTCAACTCAATAGCTTCTCCCTCCAGCCAGCAAGGAGGCAGAGACCTGGCCCTCTGCTCAACCTGGAGCTCTTGGGTGGAAGCCAGTGCCTCCTGCAAGCTGTCTAAATATGAACCAAGCGTCTGCCTATGGCTAGGATGGAGGCGGAGGGAAGTAGAGAGGCAGGGCAACAGGAGGGGACTCAGGTACCTACCTTGAAGTTCCAGATATCATTCATCTGCTGGCAGAGGTTGAGGTTGAGCTCAGCAACTAGTAGCCCATCCTGGTTACGTGACAGCCCAGGAGTTCGGCTGCCATCAGGGGCTGCCACATAGCTCGAGCCATAAAAGTAGCCAAAGTCATGGTGCGCTTTAAGGGGCAAAGAGAAGCAGCATGAGCATGTACACAGGATGGGGCCTGCAGAGGGGCAGGCACGTCAAGATACCAGGATAAGCATCCATACCTCCCTCCCCACAGTCTGACAAATGCTGAAGCCTAAAGAACCTATTTCCCTCCTCCTGCCTTAAAATCCCCAGGTGGGGGGGGGAGTTGCAAAGGTCACCCTCACAGCACTCTCCTCTGCCCCTGAGAAAATTTCTAAATGTCACCCTTTAGTCTGTTGGCCCTTCATTCCCAAAAACAGACACACACAGCCCAGGGGAGTCACAAGGCTCTGGGGGCTTCCTGTGTGACCTGCTTCCCCATGGTGTCCCACTTGATTAACTGAAGGATCTGCCCCTAATGTCTTACCAGCTAGGTAGATTTATCCTTTCTTCACATGTCAGGGCCTCAGTCCCCTCACCAGTCACAAGATGCTAAAAGCCACCCCACAGGAGTGTGAGGAGCAGGTGGGTATGGGGGTGGATCTATTTAGCCAAACACTTATACCCCTGCTTCTTTTGTATGTCCTCCTCACTAGTTTAACTGGGATTGGAGACTGCACATCTGGGGTCAAATGAGGGAGGATCTTGGATCCCTTCATGAAGTCTTCTCTTAGGAAACAGATCTGATCGGTGTCCTCTAGTTTCCCAGGTGGCGATCCCCCAAGCCAGTTGAGACACCTCCTTAAATGAGGGGACAAACTCTTCCTTCCCACATCCTCAGCCAGAAGTGGACCTGATGGTGCAGGATTCCTGCTTGAGGTGTGGTTTGTGCCCTCAGGTGAAAACAACCTGTGGACTGACAATGTGTGCTGACTCAAGAGGCACTTGCTGGTGAGGGGTCCAAGTGAGGGGCGGCAAGAAAAGGAAGGAGGCAGATCTGTAGGCTGCACAAGATCTCCCCTTATGGGGAGCATTCAAAGGGCTCACTAACATCTTCACAGTCTATTTCCACACCGTTCCTGGAGGAGGCATAGGGTCCATTCCCATTTGGTCCACTTTTAGGGAATGAAGTGGTCCCAAGGCCAGGACTACTATCCGCACCCCAATCACTGGTAGACTTCTACACTGCAGGTAACAAAGCAGACAGGCTTTGTGCCTTCTCCTAGGTGCCAGGCATGCAGGCAGACCCCATCCAGAGAAAGCAAAGAAGGGGAGGTGAAGCCCACCAACATGAAAGCTCGTGGAATCTACCTTTCTTTCCATCTCCAGAGGTAAACTCATTAGGGAAGTGCTCCTGTGAAGAAAGAGCAAGATAAGAAGAATCTGTAGTTGGCACCACCATGGCATTCATTCTAGATCACCTGGCCAGACCAAGAACAGCAAGGAGGCTGAGGGGAGTTAGCTAAGAAAGAGTTAAAGTGAGATAAAAAGGGTCTGTACTCACTGGACAATCAATTGGGCAATTGTTAAATGTCCTGATGGGCAGCCAGCAGGGAATTTGACAATGAAGGTAAAGACCTGGATTTTGCCTTTGAGGAATTTGTAATCTGGGAGGAAGAAAGACACTGGACACCCATAGTTATCAGAGCTGAGGAAGGCATATGAGGTTGGTTTGCTTAAAGTACTAAGACTGGCTAACTAAACCATTGGGTTTCTTTAGGTTGCCAGAAGTCAGATAGACTTAGTGTGGAAATCTTGGTTATCTCAGACTGATCAGATGTTTTGATAAGAATTTAACATCTGATTAATAAAAATGAAGGAAAGAATTAGAATGTAACAAGTACATTGTTTGGTAGTCAAAAATGTTCAGTGCATCAGGTCCTAGCTTTTGTGGCATACACCACAGTGAACAAGGAGAAACATGTGATGTGTTCCCACTAGGGCCATCAGTCAGTAACTCCCTGACTCAGCCAGACCTAAGAGACTTACCTGGCCCACACGGTTAATGGCACAAGTGAAACAGTGATTGGCAATGGCTGCATTTCTGGCTTCTATTGGCCACAGGGACTCACTGTAAGAGAGGATCAGGAGGAACAGGTTGTAGACTTCCAAGTCAGACTCATTGGATGCTCAGTTCTAAGCTGTAGCCTGGCTGCTGTTGTGGGGATAGCCAGGGAGACTCATTATACCTATAGGTAGACTCAAACCTGCAAGCATAGCCAAGCATGGTGGCATACATTTATAATCCCAGCTTTTGGGAGACTGAGACAGGAGGATCATGAGTTTAAGGTCATCCCAGGATATTTACATAGAGAATACTAGGCCATCCTGGGCTACATACATTTTTAGACCCTGTCTCAAAAAAAAAAAAAAACCCTATAAGCAGACTGGGTTGTCCTCAGCACCTTCCTTAAGCCCAAACAGCTCTCTGGGGAAAGCCAGTTGCAGGCAGAAACCAGCTGTGATTTATTGGGAGAATCAGATAGCCATGGATCAAACATTCATCCTAAAAGCCCCAGTTGCGTTCTTCAAAATTTCCCCAAAAGAAGGCTGTAGGTGCAAGTGTAAGCACCTGACATACATCATGGCAGCCAGACATTTCTTCAGGGCTACAGCAACGTGGGCCAGCTATGCGGCCCCAGAGCTCACAGACCCCTCCACTCTTGGAAGACTCCTGGTCCCAGACTATACAAAAAAACAAACAAACAAAAAAAAAAACCCCAAAAATCCAAACAACAAAAACCAGTCATGAGGGTGCCAAGGGTAGCAAAGATGGTATGGTCAGTGAGACACAGATGGACCCAGCGGTGTGCACAGACTTGTTCAGCTCACCACACACACCATAAAGTGTCAACGCCAGGATGTGGTCCTGAAGCTGGATGCCAAGTAGCTGTTTCAGCTGAACATGGACCCCTACCACCACCCGAGATGCTGGAGAAGCTGTACCCTGAGAGCCCAGCAGCTGCTACACAAACAGAACATGTGGCACCACAACTGGTCAAGTACCAGGAAGTTCTAGCAGAGGAACCCAGCGGCCCAGTAGAGTGAGAAAGCAGACTTCAGGGCACCGAAGCCCTAGCCTGAGTTTCTGTACAGCCTACAGTGTAGCTGGGCCAGGGCCCCCAGGCCAATAAACACTTAGTGGACCCCAGGGAGGGGAGGAAGAAGACTGTGAAGATTAAAGGAGCATGCAGACGAAGCTGCACATGATGGGAGTTCCATAACTGCCATGTTCTCCAATCCCTTTCCTCCCCCTGGGAAGCCACCATCCAGACTGGGCTGAACTTCTCCTGCAAAATGTCAGAGGGGAACTGGGAACCTGGGGAGCTTGTGCCTGGCCTCTAAGGGCTGAGCACTGGCCCTCTTTGCCCTACCCCAACTCTACTACCTTGCAAAGCAGTTTGCAAAGGGTGAGACTTCAGACAAGAGTAAACCAGAAAGGAATTTCAGTAATGGTGTTGGGGATCACATTCTGCACCTAAGTTACTACCTCTGAGCTGATTCCTGTTTCCCAGCACCTTGCAATTTTCCTCCTCTGGACACTGGGTCTTCTAACCAGGGGCTCTAAGGGAACCTAGTTCTTTTTTTTACTGACCACTCCACAGGCATAGCTCAACTGTGGACTTTCCTCAATCTAGCACCCACCAAAGAGAGTGCAATGCAAGAGCTTGCCTATCCTTCAGCCCACCAACTAAAATGTGCCATGGAATTCAGTAGGTCTTCTGGTCATTGATTAACTCTTGTTTAAGGAACACCATCGTTAAGATTCTAGATTACTGGAATGCAGAAGCAATGCCCACGTAGAACAGTGACTGGGAGGAAAATGTCCTGGAAATTCCTTCCTATCAGCGAACTTCTGGTTTCAACCAGGGATTAGGTAGAGTACTGCTTGTCACAAGCCTAATCCTCTGAAGGATTCACAAGTTTGGAGGTGTGTGGGGTGGGGGATCACAGGCTTGACTGAGGGGATTCATTTTGCTGTTTCTTCCCCTAGGTGCTAAGACAAGCGGATGAAACTTTTAAGAAAAGGAGTTATTACAGAAACATACAAATAGCCACTTGCCTGGGGAATGCTATAAACTATCTCTTATGCAATTCTCTAGGGAAGTGTTCTGCATAGGACTCAAACCTGCAATTGACAGTGGAACATATGCTCCCAAAACCACAAAGGAAAAGGAAGCAGAAGGTCTGTGAGAGTCCAGTGTGTGCAGGAACCATCAAGAGTCTGATGGGACAGAGACATTTGCCATATTCCCAGTGCAGTATACAAAAACCCCTAAAAATAACCACAGTGGGAAGGCAAGATGTGGCAAAGGAATGAGATGGTGACTTTTGGACAAATAAACATACAAAGCAGAAATTGTCAGCCACTTGGGCTGGTTCTCCATGCATCCTGGGATTGTCAGGATGACTCAATTAATAAAAAAGCACTGAACAGTGTATTGTTGTCTTAGAACTACGGGACACAGAAAGGAGAAAGGACACCTTGCTGACCCACAGACCAGGCAAGTTATGTGTCTGTGTGTCTCTGGTATAAGATACCAGAGAAGGTGATGGATCGTTCTGGACTGTGACACAACATGGGGGTTTGCCTGGCAATGTATTAAAAAAAAAAAAAACACTGCCAACTATGCAAATCATCACCTATCATTTTAACTGTATCACCCAGAATCCCATCATCCTAATAAACTATCTGCTGTCATCTTTCCATAATCTTATCACTGTCCTTGTCCATAAGCCAAAAATTTTATAGAATTTTAACCACAGCATTGATACATCTTTTAATTGCTCATAGGCTTTTTGTCACAACCCTGCATTGTCTTTATAATGATTCTTTTTAGTGACAATGATCATTATAGGCTAAATTTACTTAACTTTACCATTTCTCTCCCTGTCAGCTTTTCTCTTATTATAAATAATGCTGTCACAACTATTTTCAAACGCACAACCTCATCCTCCTTTTACATCACTTCCACAGGCACAGTTCTGGAAGCTCATCTGACTGATGAGCTGATGAAACATGCTGCTTTTCTAAAGACCTCCTATTGTTTTTACTGCTGGCCTTGCCATACCCTTGAAAGCTGAGTGCTAGACGATCCTTGGCCCAGGAAGGAAAATCAATCATTTTTAATAAGCCTAACAGGCTGTAGAGAACATAAGCGGTCATGTGCATATCACATTAGGTTACATCTGTTTGCTTAATTGGGGCTAATAAGAGCCCAAGATTTCTACGGTGGTCAAGGAGGACCTCGGCATGCACCTGGTGAAGTGGCTGTCTGGGTCTGTGGCCACAGCTTTGTCTGGCCTGGCCCAATAGCCAGTTCAGTCCCAGGTCCCCAGGGGCTGGACTTCAGGTTCCTGTGGAGGAGATGGAGCTCTGGGAATGTTGGCACAGCTAGTAGAAGGGGGATACTTTAGCAGGTGGCCCCAAGATTCCAGTAATCACCTTGCCCTGCAACTACCAATGGATGTTGTTACTTATGTTCATGACCCCATGAGACCCTGGTTCTCTGAAGGGACAAGCTAGAGGGAAGATTCAAGGTCTGCTTTTCTCCTACCCAACAGTAACCCTCCTGAACCTGTACCAGACTTCTGGGTACACAGACAGGGCAATGGACCAGAGGTAACTGACTGGTATTGAAGGGAGGGCTGCATGCTGGTTTGGTCACAGACCTGCTGGGCAAACTCTGAATACAAGGGATGTCATTCTTAAAAATGGGCACTGAAAATGGGACATTCTACTTAAACAAAAAGGTAAAATAAACATCACATTCTGACATTTACAAGATAGTCACCCAAAGTTTCATTGAGAGACAAGTGTAGGCCAACAGAGAACACAAAGCTGCTCAACACTTTCTTGGCTGCTCCCATCCCAGTATTGGGACCAGCCCTGGTGGCACCTCAGGCACCAGGACCACCAAGTAGAAGCCAGCCCCCCTTTTGCTGCAGGCATTGTGCTTTGGAGGGAGTTGGAGAGCAAAATAACTGGACATAAATTCCAGAGCTCTGCTACTTGTAATGATGCAAACCTAGAAACCAGCCAAATGCTTAGCTATAAGAGAAGAGTGAAGTAGAACAAGCATGGCTATGTGGTGCTGTCTCAGCTCACTGACCATCTTTTATTACTGTTTTTCTTTTTAAACTGACATGTATTAAATTGTACATAGTAAGAGATCCCATCATGACATTTCCATACATGCGTATAATGTGCTCTAACCTGCTGTCCTTATTAAAGAGGGGCCCTACGGTTGCTCAGGAGCTCAGAAACTGCCAGGGCTACCCACATTTGGCCTCCAATGCTACTTTAACCAAGGCAGTCTTATCTGTTTAGGGGAAACAGTGACACCCAAATACTTGTTACACGTTATTAAAGGTAAACACCTTGCTAGTTAAAAACAAGTTCCCTGGAGATAGTAAATCCCATCCCAGCAGAGGCACTGCAGTTTCAGAAAAGATGAGGAGTGACAGAAGTGGAGTTCTCCCCAAGAGCAGGTCAGAGGCCAAGTAAAATAGCACTCCAGAGGCTTGCTGGATATGCCCCGAACAATAACCTTGTCATTGAACCGGGGACCAGGAGAGAAAGTGCATCAAGGAAAAGATTGACTAAGGATTTTCCAGGGCAAAACATCTGTATGATAAGGAAAATGTGCTTAATTCTGTGGCAAATTAAGCTAGCATTCAGATTACTAAGGAGTGATTCTGATGAAACATATCACTTTCTAAAAAAATAATGATCATGACTATGAAAATGGCTGACCCTCTGGAAGAAGCAAAGATGGACCAAGAGGAAAGGGAGTGGGGAGAAATTCTGCTTCAGCCATGTCCTAAAGAAAAACATGACATCAGCTAGCATTCTCAGCCTCTTGAGGTTCAGCTACTACCAGGATTAAAGACAGAAAATCAATTGGAACTCTAAACAGCAACAGCTAAAAACTCACATGTCTTCTCTATCTCCACTTTCTTCAGTTCATTTTCTTGTTACTATTCAGAAGCTGATGACAAATGTCCTAATGTTTGACTAAGTACTCTTCTCTAACAATTTTTTCTCTTTAAGCCCTACGTTGGAGAGGGGATTATAGGATACTGGTCCAGATTTCTTTTTATAAATATAGTCTGAAGGAAAATTGTCCTTTATGCATAGAATCGAGCCATTGGTAACATATACTATGGTTTGTACTGAAAGAGAGAAGAACGGATCATTTGGGAGCAACAATGACTTTAAGAAGGCACTTGATATTGTTTGATTTTTGTTTAATAATAAAAAGGGCTTCTTATCATGAAAAAAAAAAACAAGTTCCCTGACTTATCTCATAAAGAGCCTCTGTGCTCCACCTTCATCCCCTGATCCTTCTCTCCTCTGGGCTGCTACCATGATCTGCTCAGCATTACAGACTTAAGGATCAGGAATCTGTAGATCCCCATCCTGGAGCTAATGCTGACTAAGAATCTACCGTGATCCAGGACTTAGAAGCAGGGCTTTGTGCATCCAGACACTCATGCAGGAGGGTGGGGAAGGGGTATTATTTTAATCTCAGTGTTCAGAATCCTAGCAACGGTTGGTGTCCAATGTAGACCGAGCGGCTCTTTGTGTCTATGTGTGTGTTTTGGGGGAAGGAAGGGGTTGAAATGGTCATCCTGACAGTTCTTTTCACTGAAAAACTGGTTAAATGTACAACATGCAAGCTGGGCACCAGTGGGTCACACCTGTAATCCTAACTACTTGGGAGGCTGAAATTGAGAAGATCACAGTTTGAGGTCAGCCCCTGGCAAATAGTTCTTGAGACCCCATCTCCAAAAATAAGCAGAGCAAAGATGGACTGGAAATGTGGCTCGAGTAGTAGAGTATCTGCTTTCCAACTATGAAGCCCTGAGTTTACACCCCAGTCTCATTAAAAAAAAAAAAAAAGGTATAACACACAATCCCAGCACTTGGACCTGTTAGACATCCTGGTGGCCGCACCTGCCTGCTGCAATTTACCAAACCCACTTCTGAGTCATTCAGCCTGGACTTGCTGGGCCTAGAAAACTCCCCAGGTCTCACCCCCGCCAAGTGACCTGAGTTCACCAATGGTGGCTGAGGGGTTGAAGATGATCTCAGCTCCATTGATGCTGTACATGAGCCAGTTGAGGGGGTGGTGTCGCCCATAGCAGATGTTCACTGCAATCCTGCCAAACTGGGTCTGGAACACAGGATGGCCCAAGTTTCCTTCCATGTAGTAAGTTGACTGAAAAATAAATAAAGAAGTATATATCGATACCTCTGAGCTGTAAGAATTTTCCTTTTCTTAGACTCAGAAGAAAAAAAATACAAGACCAGTAATCCAAAAGTAACACTACTTTTTAGAATAGTGTGACTGACTTCCACAATTTCAGTTTGTTAACACACACACACATACACACACCAAGACACAGTAACAACCAACCCCAAGGGGAAATCACCTTGACTTTAGCACTTATCCACAATCTCCTTTGTGACATGTAAAAAATTCCCAAAGCAACTTTTCACATTTTAAGGATAAACTATCATGAGGTTTCAATCGTTGTACAAGTAAAGCTGAGATTTGGTGAATGTTAACATTCAGTTGATGTCCTCACCAACGACATGGCCTTGTACAAAAAAGAGCTGAAGGGACTCAGACTCCAGAGCAATCCTTCAGGTGGAGAAAACTGTCTGTTTCCTGAGCGGGCATAGAACTACCCCAGCTGATTAAGGTCAAATCTGCAGTGGAACTTGCACCCTCCACAAAGCACCTTGCATATCCTGCCTGAGGTTAAGGATACTCAAGAGAAGGCAGAACCAGAACCCCATTCTCCATCTCTGTCCTCTGCCTGCTCTCTCAGGGTGCTAGTTCTAGAACATTATCAAGGACAGCAATGAGGGAGGTTAGAGGATAAGTTGGGTCTCAAACAGATCTGCTCCTGGAGCCTTTTGTCTCCTCTCATTAATTTCAAAATTGACCAAGGTCAGGCAGCAACCAGGATGTGTGTATGTGGTGGACAATGAGCAGATCCTGTTGTACTGAGTCCAGCCCTCTGCTATCTGCAGGGAGCTAAAGATTAATCCCAGGGTAAACAGGTGAGGGGCATGTCTTCCCGACCGCACCTCCACCTGTTACTGAGAAACACTGGGTTCTTCTCTCTCCTGGGGACCCCATCTAGCTCTGTAGATGGATTCCTGCCTGCCTGACCAGCCTAAATCCTCATAATCAGGAAGGGAGGTTGAAGGACCGGGGATATCACATCCTGAACAACTCTAATGACTGAAAACTCAGGTTTAGATTTAGGATCTTAGGCATTAAGTAGAGTTCATTTCCCTCTTTCAAACATCCAACCATCTGTGACACAGATCTATAAATTGGAATTAACTGCTCAAAACAGCCCATACCTTATGACTTGATCACAGCCATGAGAAGTTCCCTGTTAACATCTGTATACACAAACAGGCACATTTACCTACTGTCACTTGACATAGAGATATGGGGCAACTCACACACTATGTGAACCACGGACAAGGAATCCTACCTCCAAAACTAGCACTGGACAATGACTGGCTAAGGGCACAGAGCCTGAAAGGGGCCACAGAAACCATTTCACATTTGTACACTATTTGTCATTTTTTAAATTTACGTACCAATTATCGCAAAGGAGGATTTCAGAAAGCCAAATCAGGGTACAGTAATAAAAAACATTTATAAAAACCTCACTGTGATAAAGGGACCCCAGAGTGCCACCTGAAACCCTGGATGCAGGGCAACACCATCAGACCCTGTGAGCACAAGAGTAACACTGCTTCATAGCCACATGATAGCATATTGTCTAATGCAGAACTTCCCCACGGAAAGACCCACTGAGATATCGGCACCAAAGGGGAAGCAAGCTGAGCTGGTCATCTGACAGGCAGCTCACCTCATTGAAATCACCCACTCTGGGGATGTGGTTCTTCCTGGTCTTTCCCATGACTGCTCCAGAATTTGAGATCACCACAGCCGTGTTCCACAGGACGCCCCCATGATCTCTGTCTCGTTCTAGGATGGGTGACACTACTACCATGTCATGCTTCTTTGCCAGCTGGAAGAATGAATACCATGGAGATCTGCTTTCAAATCAGTTGTCTTAGTTTCTTTACTGGAGATGAATTTTATGAGCGCTCTAAATAATTAGGCTTTGCTGTAGCTGTCTGAAATACTAAATGCCAGCGTTTTCCTGAAGCTCATGCTTAACTAATAAGAATAGTAATCATCCTTGTGCACTGTTATTGAGGCTGTAAAATGGTACAGCCACTGTGGGAAACTACATGGAGGTTCTTCCGAAAGTTAAACGTAGAATTACAACATGGAGCTGGTGGAATGGCTCAAGTGGTAGAGCACCTGCCTAGCAAGCATGAGGTCCTTGAGCTCAAACCCCAGTACTACAAAAAAAAGAAAAAGAAAAAAGAATTATAACATGACCCCATATCTTGGTATATTATCTAAAAGAAATGAAAGGAGGGACTCAAAAAGGTAACTCTACACTCCTGTTTATAACAGCTTTATTCAAAATAATCAAGAGGTAGAAGGAAACCAGGTGTCCAAAGATGAGTAAAATGTGACATATACAAATAATTTTCATCCTTTAAAAGGAAATCCTGTCTCACTTTACAATATGGATGAACCTTGATGATGTTGGGCTAAATGAAATCAGTCAGTCATGAAAAGAAACTCTGAAGTAAGCCAGGTTCAGAAACACAACAGGTGGTATGTTTTCTTTCATATGTGGAAGATAAACATATCCAAAACATAAACATATACACAAAAACAAACATGATCATATAGAAACTTATATGTAAAACATGTTTAATAGTAGAACTCTGGAACTCTGGGGAGGAGGGAAAGAAAAGAAAATGACAGAAAGTCAACAACATTGAAACACATAACATCTGTGCAAGTAGAGGATATAATGGCATGTAGTGAAAGCTGTTGAATAGTGGGGTTGGGAGAAAAGGGGTAAGGGAGAGTAACGGAAGGGGTTGAACTGACCAAAATAAAGTATACTCACAGTGGGGATACATCAAGAAACCTCTTTGAACATTGACTCTGGAATTAATAATGAAAGATGGGACTGTAAAATAATAGTGTGGAGGAGGTGTTTGTGGGAGGGGAGGGTGACTAAAGGAGATGAAGGTGAAAGAATATGGTTGATGGGCTTCATATATACATACACAAAAATAGAACAATGAAACTTCTTATAATTGCTTTAAGTGGGGCAGGAAAGGGGCGGGTGGTGGGGGCGATGGTGGACAATGGAGATAATCTAACCAATGCACAATGTAAGCCCATTTGGAATTCTCACAATATATGCCCCTATACAATGAATATATCCTAATAAAAATGAAACAAGAAAAGAAACTCTAATTCCACTTATATAAAATACCTAATCAAATGTAAAGTAACAGAAAGTAGAATGGTGGTGCCAGGGGCACAGAGGAATGAAGAGCTATTGTTTAATTTGTACAGAGTTGCGAGATGAAAAAGTTCTAGAGACCTGCCACACAACAATGTAAACATACTTTATATATTTAGCTGTACATGCAAAACTGGGTAAGATGGTAAATTTTATGTCATTTTTTACCACAGTTAAAAAAAATCATTGTACTTCTATAACAACAACAAAAAACCCTAGCTCTTTGACACTGTCTATTTTGTGTTGCTATAACCAAATACTACAGACTGGATAATTTATAAAGAACACAGATTATTTATTTACAAAGTCCAAGATGGAAGGGTCAGCATCAGGCCAGGGCCTTCATGCTGCATCATCCCATGGTGGAAGGCAAAAGGGCAAGACAGTACTAGAAAGCAAGAGAGGGGCTGAACTTGCTTGTATAACAAACCCACCCCTGAGACACTGATGTTACTCTATTAATGAGAGCAGAGCCTAATTACCTCTTAATTACCTCACAATACTTCCCATTGGGATTAACATTCTAACCCCTCAATTTTGGGGAATATATTCATATCATAGCAGGCAAGAAATTCCTTTCATGTTGAGTAGAAGCACTGGGACCTGGTCATCAGGTGAAGGCCTACTTGGACAGTAACACTGGGAGCTGTGCTAAGGGCAACACTGGGCCCCTGGTCACTCTTGATACACAGAAGTGTCCCCCAGTGCCAGCTCCCTCCAGGCCTAGTTCAGGCTTATCAGTTATAATACCCCCATCCAGTCCCCTTCCTGATTTTTCCATAGCACGGAATCAACAACCAGATACATGAGATTTTTTTCCCATTACTCTAAGAATACAAATGTTTAGGATCGGAACTCAGTATTGATACAAATCACTATGATTATAGCTCTGATCAAAACAAAAAACCAAAAAAACCCTGCAGGTATATGTACAAAGTCTGAAAGAGAAAAGCAAAATGAAAGAAGTTCTTTTGTTAGAACTGAAAATAAGGATAAATTGCCATCTCTCACCTTTTTTCAATGTTACAGGTTTTTCTGATGACAGCTTTATTAAAACGTAATTCACATAGCATAAAACTCTCTTTTTAAATGTGGTGGTTTTAGTATATTCACAGAGTTGTGCAACTAGCACCACAATCTAATTTCAGAACATTTTCATAACCCCAAAAAGAAACCCTGCACCCCTTCTTCCCATACCTCTTTTTGTCTCTAGTTACTTGCCTTTCCAACAAGTCACATAAATGGGACCATATCACATGTATTAGGAGGGTTTTTGGTGGTACTAAGGTTTGAACTCAGGGTCTTACACTTGCTAAGCATTCTACCACTTGAGCCATGCCCCTATCCCTTTCTGTTTTAGTTCATTATCAGATAGGGTCTTATCATTTTTGCCCAGGGCCCATCCCAGACCTTGGTACTCCTACCTATGCTTCCCAAGTAACTGTGATTACAAGTGTGCCCCACCACGCCCAGCTTGTTCTTTTAGAAAGGGTGTGGTTAACTTTTTGCTCCAGTTGGCCTAGAACCCCATCCTCCTATTCTGCCTCCCAAGTAGCTAAGATTATAAGCATAAGCCTCTAATGCTAGGCACATATGAGGTTTTCATAAAGAAAAGTGAAACACAATTTCTATACCGATGAGACAAACCATATGTCAAAGCTTATGCTGAGACAAGCAAACAGTAAGTGGGCCAGGCAAAGCTCTGGAAAAGGACAATGTCCCTGGTCCCTGAGGCTAGCTTTGCTTCTTCACAGACTTGCTATGGCCAAGTCTGCAGCTTATTTCTTCCTAGGCTGCAGGTCCCTCCCTCACACCTGACAAAGCCACAAAGGGCTACTCTGACTTTGAAACTCTACAAATTTCAGTGAAAGTACACTAAAAAAGGTGGCAAACAGTCTTATCTAATCAAAACCTGGTAAAACAAGCACCAGACAGGTACATTTTCCTTGGTGAGGGCCACATCTGACAGCTGTGGCTGTGCTCTCTGACCTGCACAGGTTCAGCAGCTGCTGCCCCAGAAGCAATTAATATCTTACCTTCTGGCAGAACCTGGTGGTGAACCCATCCTCTGCCGACTCAGCAAATTCTGTCCAAGGAAGCTTCTCTCTTGTACAGAAAGCAAAGGGCATTGCTGTAAAGAGGAAAAAGGTTAGAATCATATCACACATGACATCTGGGGTTGTCCTCAACCCAGCAGCCAGGTTACCACTGGAATCCTCCTCATCCTAGGGACAGGGAGGTTTCTTCAGAAATAAGAAAAGTTGTCAAATTCCTGGTAGCTCACACCCATAATCCTAGCTACTCAGGAAGCAGAGATCAGGGGATCTCAGTTTGAAGGTAGCCCAGGCAAACAGTTGGAGACCCTATCTCCAAAAAACCCATCACAAAAAAAAAAAAGGCTGGTGGAGTGGCTCAAGGTGGAGGTCCTGTTCGAGAAAACCTATCTCCAAAAAAACCATCACAAAAAAAAGGGCTGGTGGAGTGGCACTAGGTGTAGGCCCTCAGTTCAAACCCCAGTACCACAAAAAAAAAAAAAGAAAGAAAAGTAGCTTAATGACTCCACAAGAAGGTAGGAACCACTGGACAGGACCAGCATGTCCAAAGAAAAATCATTCTTCTTAAAATCTCTGGCTGGATTCCAACAGGGGGTTAATTCAGTAGGAAATTTCATTAAACTGTGTGTGTGTGTGTGTGTGTGTGTGTGTGTGTGTGTGTGTGTGTGTCCGTCCGTGTGTCCAGTGCTGAGGCTCAAACCCAGGACCTCACACGTTAGGCAAATGTTCTACCACTGAACTATATTCCCAAACATGAACTCACTGGTTTTTGTTTGCTGCCTCTCAGTGTGCCCATACCTATGCAGGAATAGTTCAGAAACATTTGTAATCCCCGCACATATTGGGTTCAAAAGAGTTTCCTATGCAGGGGCCAGAGGAGAATGCTCTGGGGGTGGACATGAGGACCTATAGCTGTGTATAATGTTGCAAAAAAGCCCTGGCTATCTCTGGAACATCTGCAATACCTGCAGTGATTTTTAATGTCTGCCAATGTGCTGTGTGAACTGATCTCACTGTAATTAAATGTCTTCCTTGGGCTGGGGGTGTAGCTCAGTGGTAGCATGCTTGTCAAACATACTCAAAGTTCTAGGTGCATTTCCTAGCACTGCAAAAATAAGTAAGGTTTTCTGCATGTTCCCTGGCATTCTGGATTGTTCCTTTTGGCATTCTTGTTCCTACTCTTTGACATCTCCTACTGGGTGTTTCTTACTGGGTTTTTGTTTTTTCCTTTTCCTCTGGATTTGTATTACTGAATGCTTTACCTGAACTAACTCAGCATTCTCTTTTTTGCGTGTGATTATTTTTTCATGTATTTTATTCTGTTGGTGATAGAAACCCTTTCGTAAACATTTTTATTATAAGTCAGTAGTCTGACTTCTACATATATCAGAATACTCTTTGGCTCTCCCCTCTCACACGAACCCAACTCCGTTTGTTTTAAAGGGATTAGCCATTTAAAGAGATGTTTCCAGATGTCTGCTATTATTTTGCGGACTTCAAACTGACCAACTTTGTGGAGGAATGTTGGTAGGATGCTTCATGATGTGAGTGTGGTAGATAAATAGCACTGGGGTTTGTGGCCTGTTTAGGAATTGTGACGGTAACCAAACATTTTCCAAACATGTGAAGCAGGTGTGGCCCTCCTCATTTCACAGAGAGGAAAAAGAAGCCACAATCTGCAATTCACTCCAGTCCCAGGAAGCCTGAACCTAAGACTGAGCCAGAGTGAGCACATCACCAATGGCACTACCAGTCTCTAGGCTGCCTAAGTAGATACATGCACTGCTGACAATCCCTGGAGCCTTGGGACCAAGCTCCCTAGGGTCCCTTTGGTGAAGACAAGATGAACTATTTTAAGGAAGTCAACTAGAAAAGCTGTTGATAACAAAAATGTAACTTAATGACCATTAATTCTCAGTTTTCAGCACATTAGGAGGGACTCAAATGCTACCAAGAATAAAATCTCCCATCCTGATTGCTTTTCAAGTTGCTAAGGCTAATAGCTGCATTTACATTTTAATGGCTTCTTTTCCTGTTTACACAAATACTCCAACATAAACTTTCAAAAGGAGGGTGTGGAATGGAGATTAGGGGAAGTCAGGAACTTCAAAATCCCTACTGTAGTTTTCCAAGTAAAGGGGAAGGGGTTTCACCAACCCACAGTCAGGCTCTTGACTCGGTCCTGGCCCTGACCTCAGGGGCTGCCAGTCTAGAGCAAAATAGATGGATTATGACTTGGGATGTCTACACCACCTGGCAGGACAGTGTGCTCAGTTATGCCTGGGGAAAATGCCCAACACCCAACAAAGGAAGGTGTGTCAGTGCTAGGCCTTGATGGATGTGCAGGAGTTCCTGACTCAATAAAGGGAAGAACTGGTTAAACAATCCAATAAATGCACTTCAGTGTTTGTCACGCACCACCAATTGTAGCCAGGAAAGATGATATGAGTTGCGGGGGGTGGGGACCTGAAAAAGAAGTAGACAAATACACACAGTGGCCTCATGGAGCTTACAGTCTAATGGAGGCAGGAGACAAATCAAGAGTCAGAGAAACAGGAGTGAAAAGGCAAAAGGAACATGAAGTAAGAAAAATTACATGAAGATCACCATGTCCTTTCTCTCTTCTTAGCAGGACAGAAGAATCTTTGGGAAATCTGACCAGCCTGAAGGAAATGGATCGGAGATACTAACACTGTTATTACCCAGGGATTACTGCTCATCCAGATCACCCTAGAACGGTGGCTAGTGAATTACCTTACGAATTTAGAGTTCACAAACTAGTTCTTCATCCACAATTCTTAAAATAAAAGTAGATAAAAAAAAAAAGTTTGGATTAGGTAGGGACATTGCAGGGAGATAAAATTTTACTTAATTTTGACATCCTTAAAGACACTGCAACCATGATAGAAGAACAAGGTGATAAAACAGGAACTTTCAAACCAAAAGGCTCTTGTAAATTCAAAATATGATAGCAAAGTGGAAGAATGAATGATGAGTTAGATGAAATCTACCAGAAAATCAAGCAAGAAGACAAAGACATGAAAAGTAGGAGGAAATGGGTAGGAAAATGAAGAGCTGTCCAGACACAAATCCTAATAGTAAGTATCAGGGAGAGAGGAGAAAAAATAAAGAGAAGTGTTGAGTAAATTTTAAGAGGCTGTTGTTTTGTACTAAGGTTCTATACTAGGCCTTAACACAGCAAACTAAAACTCAAAATGACATCACTCATACTAAACTTCCATGACACCAAACAGAAACTATTTGCCCAGGTTAGCTTTGAACCAATCCTCCGATCTCTGCCTCCTAACTAGAATTACAAGGCTCTAAACAGGCCAGTTTTAATCAGCATAACAATGTCATTCTTTCTACTTTAATCCTTACCAAAAATAATCTGACATGTTATTTTTTTTTATTGTTCTGTCCCCCTATCTCTAGAGCATTAGGAGTGACTTTTCTTAAAAGAAAAGTAACTTTCAAACAACCAGCCTCTCTTCATTCTTTGTTTATATTTTATTCAGGCTTCCTGTCTATAAAATCAAACTCTTCAGTTCATTTGAAGTCTCATTCTATTTTATGGAATGAAATATTACCTGATTCTACAACCATAAATAAAGCCAATTAAACTAAGTTTGTTATAATTTTGCCTTTTGACAGAAAAGAACTAATGAAATAATACAAGAAAATACAGACTAAAAGACCCAAGTTTCTAAACTGAAAGAATCCTTTAAGTACTTAGACTAACAGGTTAAAAAAGAGGTATTCACAGTGGAACACCATTATGAAATTGTACAGTGAGCAGAAAAAAAAAAAAAACCAGAAGATTCTACAATCTTCCAGAGAAAAGTAAACAAATCATAGACAAAATGCCATAAATCAAAATGGCTCTGAGCCAATCAAAGACAATTAACATTAGAAAATGAAGGAGCAATGTATTCAAACTTCTGAAGGAAAATGATTTCTAGAATTTGATATGAAACTATCAAGCAAGTGTAGAAGACACATTTTGAAATACACACAGTCTTAAAACATTTACCTCTGAGGTGTTCTTTCAAACAGGTACTTAACTGCTTTTATTGAAGAGCACTGACTTCTTACTTAGGTCCCCAAATTAAATAAAATCAGGAAAAAAGCTTGGCGTCTCCATCTTTAATTTATACCTATTGTCCTTTGCTCTGAGTCATTCTCTCCTCTAGCCACCTTAAAATTGAGGAAGGACAGGAATAATCAATAACATCTTCCTGACAAGGGACTGAAACTACCCTCAAGGAATGGTGGGGCCTTGTAGGACAAACCACTCTCCAAATGAGGACAATTACCTGTAATGATGAAACTGTACCCTGGAGCAGGAGGAATCATCTCTTGGAAAACAGACTGCTCCCTTAACATGAAGACAGCAATAACAACTTCTCTGGAACCCTTGAAGAACAAGGCCTGAGATAATGGTCAACCAGGCCATATCCAACTAATCTGATCACTGGAACATATTCGTGATACATACCTTTTGTCTCCTGCCCTAATTCTTTATCTATTTAAAAGTTCATGTCTGTACCCCCAAATATGCCTACAGATGTGTTGAAGTGCTTCTTCCCATGGCGTTTCAGAGGCCATGTAACAGATTTCTTTTCTCTGCCTTTTTTAGCATGTCTCTTTATTTGGTGTACAGGAGCAAGTGGCCAGACCTGACATGTGGAAACACAGAAGTTTGATCCTGGGTTCAAAAACTCTGGTTTCAGAATCACTTCACCAAAACGAGTAAACTCAGAAGGAGAGAGGGAAAGAGACTACCCAGGATTATGGCAAAGGAAAACCTCTGGGCGACAGTGGTGCAGCCAGCAGAGGGGGCAGTTAATTCAGAAAGGAGCAGTCATAATATTCTAGGACAGATTCCTTCAAGGAGATAGAACTGATAGATGGTATAATTGTGTCTAAACAGGTTAAAGGGATTTATAAATAAGTAGAAAGTATAGGGTTGAACTTGTGCTGAATATGTAGAAAATGAAGCAGACTGCAGGGAAAACAAAATGATTCAGGAAAAAATATCAATGTTGAAAAAACAGCAAAGCAGAGACTCAATGGAGGATGAACAGGAAGGGTACACATATGTAGAGGGGCATGAGGAAGCAAAGGCAAAACACTGACTTCTTCCATGGTAGGAAGAGCAGAAATGAGGCAAAAACCGAAAAATTAGGAAGTACCAACACAAAAATAAATTCCAAAAGAACCAGCTAAGTATTGAAAAAAGTTAACTCTGGAGAGAACATTTTTTTTTTTTTAAGAAATAGACCTTGTAGACCCATTTTAACTCTAAACCATGAGCATACATAACTTTGATAAGAATTAAAAAATAACAGCCAGGTGTGGTGGTGCATACTTGTAATCCTACCTGAAGTACTGAGGTCCAAAGCTAGCATGGACAAAAGCGTGAGAATCTAGCTGGAGAAAAAAAAATAAAAAACTAAAGGAAAAAGGGCTGGGGACAGCTCAAGTGGTAGAGTGCTTGCCTGGCAAGCAAAAGGCTCTGAGTTCAAACTCCCCAATACTCGAAAGAAAAAAAGGGAAGGAAGGGTGAAAGGGAGGAAAGAAAGAATTAAAAAGAATTTAAAACAACAAATAAGGACCACACAGTGGCTCAAGCCTATAATCCTAGCTACTTGGGAGTGGAGATCAGCAGGATCACAGTTCAAGGACAGTTCAGGCAAAAATTCCATGAGCCCCTCCCTGCCCTCTCCCCCCTACCCCCCCCCCCCCCCGCCAAATTCAACCAACAGAAGCTGGGAATGCTGGCACGCACTTTTCATTCCAGCTACATGGGAGGCATAAATAGAAGGATCACAATGCAGGCTGACCTGGGCACAAAGCCAGGCCCTATCTCAAAAGGTTTGGGGACATAGTTCAAGTTGTAGACCACCTGCCTAGCAAGCTCCAAATCCCAGTATCAGGCCTAAACAAACAAAAAACATAAAACCAGGAGTGTGTCTAGCAGAGGAGTTAATTTTTAGATAAGGAGGCAGGTTGGCTGGCTGGCTCTAAACTGAGATCAGAAAGTTAAGCAGGGATTAGAGGGGTCAGAGTGGAGAGTACAAGGAGACCCAATGAAGGTAATTACAAAAAAAAAAGAGAGAGAGAGAGAGAGAGAGGGATTCTGGTAATAGCTCAGTGGTTGAGTACATGCTTAGTATGAGCAAGACCCTGGGATCGATATCCAACCTGCAACACCAAAAAGAATGAAAGCTGAGGGGAGACTACTGGTAACTTGGATCAGAGCAGAGGTAGAGGAGTGAATGGCTAGGTAACAGAGTGGGCTTGTGAGGGGAGAGGGAGGCTTACACATAGCTTTTCTACTGATGAGAAAAGGAGTTTCTCTTAATTAGGTCGGAGACATCCATGGCAACATGAAGACAAGACGTGATTATTTGAAAGTGGCCAAGAAAGCACCATAAAAGAGACTTACTCCACGCTTCTTGGAAACAAATGATGTTGACTCCACACATTGCAGCCACTTCCACAATGCCTTCTATGCGTCTGTGGAGGGCAGAAACCTGAAAATTTAAAGACTGAGGATTAGAATCTGTTTAGTTCTATTGTGAGATGATTTTTAAGAATTCACCCCAATCCGTATTGAACAAACTCCATCTGACCAGGTAAAAGGTAATGATGGGTTAGGAGGTTCTGTCAGACCAAAATCTGCAAGCTCTGGGCTCCCACAGACTGACTCAGTTTTGCTGGTAATGGAGAACCACCTTTCTTGTGCGGTTGCTGAGAGGCATGAGTAAGGATGGTCTGTTTACTGCATTTGAGCATGTGCATATTCTCACACGCACATACTAGTACGGACACACTCCCTGGGCCAGCATTCAAGGCTTTGGGCTTGTTTTGTCCTGCAATGTCCACTGTCCTGTGTGAATCTCATCTGCCAATAACTCATCTTTCTGGCTCTTTTAAATCATCATGCATTGATATGTGCCCTTGGCTAGGAATGTGCTTCCCTAGCCCTTCTTGATATTTCTGGAGATGTTATCCCTGTCACTCATTACCCCCGTGAACCCTCTGCAGACTTCCTTAGCTGACCTTTGGGTGCTCCTAATGCAGCACTGTTCCCACTGTATTGCCACTTTTTCTCCACTCTCTGTCACAGCCAGAGACTGTGGGCTCCTGGCCCACAGTCTCCTTGTAGGCAGGAAGAAAGTATTCTTGTCTTCTGTGTCCTCAGCACAATGTCTGATTCCCAGGAGACATTCAGAAGTGTTGGTTCAAAGAAACACTAAAAGAAGGCAGCTGGAAACCCGGAGAGCAAAAATCTCTTTCCAATGCTCTACACCGTGTTACGTGCCGGTGTGAGGTGTCGAGGGTCCCTGCCTTCACAGGCCAGGGAACTGGCTCATGAACTGGCTGAATGATTAGGCAAAGCCAGCATAGGAAGTGAGATTTGTTAGAGAGAAAGGAAAGGCTACAGCTAGAGAAGTGCAGCGGAGCCTGGAAACCAGTAGCTCGCTGCTCAGGTGAAGGCTGGGGCTTTTATGGATGTTTTAACTCTGGGTAAAGGTTAGGGTGGGATCTTTTCATTGGCCATGGATTCACGGGCTTTCTTAGGTGAACTGGTTTGTTTTGCCCCTTATTGGGGGAGGGGAAACAATCTTGAGAGCATTTTGCTCATCAGCCCTGTGGCAGATCTATCAGACCCTGTATTTCCTCTTTAGGATGCAGAAATGCAGGTTTACAACTCCCTCTTAGGATGCAAGAATGATAGTGCTCTCCATGGGGAGAGGGGATGGGATACTCACTCATCTGCCTTAAGTCTCCAGACCCAACAGTCTCTTCCCCTGAAAGGCTGTATGTTCCGAGGCTGACATGCTGACTGTGTCAACCATGTGAACACACATTTGCTCAGCATTGACAATAAACAAAGTGTAGGGGCAAGACTATCCCTTGATCCTACAGTCTGACAATCTGGGATGTCAGAGGACATATTCACTAACAAGTCAGAGATAAAAGTAAACTGAGAAACAGACATGGGCGGGGTGGGGGGAACACTTGAACTCAAGCCCAGGGCCTTGCCCATGCCAAGCAAGTATTTCACTACACCCTCAGCCCCCAGTCATCTTCTAATTAAACAAAAGCCAGGGAAGAAGCTGGGAAGTGGCCAATGATAAAGCACTTGCCTATCATGATAGTTAGGGCCAGGACTTGATCCGTAAAGAGAGAAAAGAAAAAGGAAAGGAAATACCAACATCAAGAATGATACAGACTGCCATGGAATCCATGTGACCTTAGGTTTCTCTAGAATCCCTAAGAATTATAAAGTATGCTATATCCTAAGGAAACCTTGATGGCAGAAAAAGCTTCCATCAGCAGTTGGAAGAATGCTGTGAAGAAGTGTGTATGTGACAACATGTTTCTTTAAATAAATGAAAAAGGTCAAATTTACTTAGTAACTGTAAGGAAATAAGCAAATGCCTCCTAGTAAGCCTATGGATACCACCTGCTGATAGACTTCTGGCTATAGTGAGCCCCTGCCCTTAGGTCAGGATGGTCCTGACCAGTGTATGCTGGCAGGCAGGCAGCCTTTGGGCAGGTGGTTGAGAGGCAGCTTCCCATGGAGAGAGCTTGAGCCAAGCAAAAGGGGACCCTCTATTTCCCCCTCCCTTCCCCCCCTACCTCCCGCCATTGGTAAATGAAACTTTGGATCAACAGTGGGAGAGGAAGTAGAAGGGAAGATGGAAAGATCAGTGAGCAGTGAGAAGAAGGAAGAGAAAGGATAAGAATCAGAAGAAAAAGAGCTGGAAATGAAGACTGGAAGGAAGGAGGGAGAACAGGGCGAAACCATTTCAACCACTCTTTGAAGTACCTGGGCCAACACTCACTGCCAAACAAAGTGAGTGGCCAGCCAGGGGTTGCAGTGTGTTCAAAAGAAAGGGTGAATGCCAGCAGCCAGTGGCTTATGCCTCTAATGCTACAAATTTGGGAGGTTGAGATCAAGAGGATCATGGTTTAAGGTCATCCTAGGCAAACAGTTTGTGAGACTTCATCTCCAAAATAACCAGAACAAAATGAACTGGAGGTGTACTCAAGCAGTAGGGTGCCCGCTTTGCAAGTGTGAAGCCATGAGCACCTTAGCCTCACTTAAAAAAAAAAAAAATGGAGGGGGTCAAGCCACCGCCTCCTTTATGTATTTATGGTTAAAAGTGACTGTACCTGTTCTACCACAGGGGCAGACGTGGGGAGGGGGATTCTGTTCTGAACTAATCCCACACGCACGATCCGGGGGCCTCTCCGCTGCTCCTCAGCAGCCTCAAATGCATATCCCCGCAGTTCAAAGTCTTTTTCTGAGGCAGCTTCAAGAGCTTTTCTGGGCAGATTGAGCTCCCTAAATGGACAAGAAAGAAGAGGAAAGAGGATTCTGATGATGTCAGTTGCATTTAAAATTCCCTTCCCCTCAAATAAAAACAAAACCCCTCTCCCAGGACTGGGGGTGTATCTAAGAGGCAAACTGTAGGCTTAGCAGGTGCAATGTCCTGAATTCATCCTCAGGACTCCAAAAAATAAAATAAAAATCCCCCTCCTCCTTTTTGTAGTTCTTTATTAGGTGAAGAACTTGGGATGTTCTGCCAGGAAAGCTACTAGTCACAGGGTCCAGGGAGCCTGGGGAATAGAGAAGCTGCGTCATGCATGAATGGACATTGTTCTGAGTCTGGACTTTCTCTTAGAGTCACAAGGAGACACTAGCAGGAAAGCAGCATGACTGCACCAGGCAAAGGGAGGTAATGTGACCAAACTAGTCAAGAGGTTGGTGTTTTGGAGTTACTGAAATCTGGGCAGAGAATAAATTTCCTGCGGTCAGCACAGAAAGGAGGTAAATGGTTCCAAAATGTGTTTCTGATCTAGAATGAGAGGGCTATGCTGAGCCTAGAGTCTAATGTGGGCTGTGATAAGAAAGAGGGTGGAGAATGGGGCTCATGAGACAGGCTGGATGGAGGCCAAGAACTGACACCACAAGGAAGGCCCTACAGCCATTCCCCCTGACAAAGCTGAGCCTTGGGTGGGTGATCCCCAGGGACTTGTCCTCTGCTGCTTCCAGTGGGGGACTAGTTCCATGCCTAGTGCTGGGTAGGTTTGATGGGGTCCAGGTGTTCAGACCAAAGGTCCAAATGCTCAACCGAATTTTGTGATTTATTAACAAAGACTTATTTATAAAACCTCCTGCCAAAGTGACCATTGGTCAGGCAGCAAATACTTCCTGATACCTATTGCATATCCAGAGCTGGGGTAAAATCCAGAAGCATGGTTCATGGCCCCAGGCCAGGAAGGGCTTACCATCTAAGGGTGAGATGATTACAAAATACCCTGAGAACACATCAAAAAATAACCTGACAGCCATTATCTAATAATAATATTTCTCTCCTACTTTAGATCACTTTCTTAAAGACATTTCTTTCCAAAATCACAGCCCTGTCAGTCCAAGCCCCCTGTCGCCGCCCCCTGCCAGGCACTTTCCATGTGACAGCCCTGACAACTGTGAGTTTGGTTCCGCCCCTGACAATCAGCCTGCTTTTCAAAGAGTCAAGGTTCCCTTCCCTCTGGCAGGTTAGAAATAGCAGCAGTGCCCACACCTTGCCTCCCCTCACTGTGACTGCCTCAGATTGTCCTCCCACCCTCAGGTGGAAGGCCTGTCTTGTGGGCTTCAGCCTTATTCAAGTCATCCTCAGTGGACACAGTCACACAGCTTTCTAGGAGCTATAACCTGAGGATGTGGGACAATCACAAAAAGAAAAAGAAAGGCTTTGTGTATCTGTTTCCCAAAGACCTGTAGTCCCTAGAGCTGGACTGCCCTGTGGAAGTATCCTATGGTCTCAGTCCAGGAATATGTCAGGTAGAGCAAACCAGGCTGTAACCTTTACCAGGTGGATGTCTCTCTTCATCAGAGGATAACCCACATCCTCTGATCATCATCATCAGTACTCCACAATCTCCCCTACCTCCCACCCTTCATCTATTGAGAGTGCTGCCTCTGCCACTGCCAGCCTTGAGGCTATGAACTTGCTTGTCTTCAGCTCCCTGCAGACATTCATTCTCCTAGGCCCAAGGTGAGGCAGTCAGGCTGTTCCACCCTCTAGGCCAGCTGCCTTTGAGGCTCTACCACTCTTCAATATTCTCATGAATTTTTTGGTTGCCATCTTTAAAGTCTCTCTGCTCTCCTGTTATCCAAAGTGATCCATCATCACATCCTGTACCACTGCATCTTAGAGATACAAACCAATACTCAAAAAGGTATCCTGTACAGACCTGGTCAATAAACCTGTGCTGTGCCTACAAAAGATATGGCATGGGGGGATGTGGTGGGGACCTGAGATGGACTCAATATGTATGTGCACCCCCCAAATCACATATTGAAATCCTAAATCCCAAGGGACATGATTAGGTCATGAGGATAGAGCCTTCATGAATGGGATCAGTATACTTATAAAAGGGCTGAAGGAGGTTGCTTGTCCTTGGACAATATGTAGATACAGCAAGAAGGTACCACCTCTGGACCAGGAAAAAGGCCCACACTAGACATGGGCAATGGTCTTGATCTTGGACTTTGAAGCCTCTCAAACTGTGAAGAATACATTTCTGTGGTTGAAAAGCCACATGATCTATGGTACTTTGTTAGAGCAGCACAAAAGGACTATGACAAGCACTGTGCATCCACAGCTCAAGAAGGAGCTGAGACCAGCAAATGAGCTACAACTTTGATCAGGGGGCTCATGCTGCCTACAGCTCTCCCTTGGTCCCTATTGTTGACTTTCGGTCCCTCCTACCTCTTACTCTGCTACTGAGGACCCCACCCCTCCTGGGCTCATCTCCAACTTCAATGAGAAAAGCAAGTCACTTCCTATCCTGGCTGCAATACCCTCCTGGGTCCTCCTCCCTTCCCTGGTCAAGGCAGAGCTGGCCTGAGGGCTCTAAGCTTCTGCTTCCTCAGTGACATCTCACTTCCAGACCTTCATCTTTCCTCCTCTAATGGCTCTTTACCATCATCATTTTAAATTACTAAACTAGAACTTTGTTACAAAAGAAACATAGTCTTGAAGAGGGGAAAAAGGCAAACAGTAGAAGGGGTATAAAACAAAAAATCAGTTCCTCTTTAAACTCCTGTCTCAAACCTGAGAAAGGATTATCTTAATGTTTTGTACATCTTCCCAAAGTTTTTCTATTAAAAAAATGCAGATGTTATAAGAATGGTATTCTGCATTTTCTTCTCTTTGCCTTGCATCTGTTTTCACTTGACAGTATACAGTCATGAATCACAAAACAATGCTGTGAGTGACAGACTACATATAAGCCTGTGGTCCCATAACATAATGGAGCTGAAAAAATCCTGTCACCTTGTGACACCATGCCTGTCATGACATCATAGTGCAACACATTACTTAGGTGTTTGTGGTGATCCTGGTGTAAATCAACCTACTGTGATACCAGTCATACAAATTATATATATAGTACATAATACTTGATAATGATAACTATATTACTGGTTTCTACATTCACTTTTACTTTTATTGGTGGCACTGGGAATTAAAGTCAGGGTTTACTATACTTTGTAATGTTGTTTTAGAGTATATTTTCTATCTATAAAAAAAGGTTGGTGCAAAACAGTATACTATATTATACCAGCATCATACATCACATGTGTACTACACCTGATTGTATGAAGAGGACATATTGAAGTGTTTGGGTATAGTTCAGTGGTAGATCACCTGCCTAGCATGTACAGGGCCCTGGATGGCAAAAACTAAACAAAACACTTCAAGTGATTGACCTATACCACATAGGTTTGTGTAAATATACTCTGTGATGTTTGCATCATCAAAAAAAAAAATCACCTAAGAATGAGAACATTCCTATCGTTAAGTGACACATGTCTACATAGTTTGGACACCCCTCCCTCTAGCAGATTCACCACAAAAGCTGACTGAATCTCTCCCAATAAAAAACAGAAAAAACTAAACAGAGACAGTGTTCCATTCATGCTCCTCTAGATACCTCACTTGCTCTCCCTGCACGAGGGAGCTTCCACATACATTTTCCCTCAGTTCAGCACTTACCTTGGACGGCCATCTCATTCTCCTGTTCTCTGGCTTCCACTTACCATCTTAACAACTTCTCCCAAGCCGGGCGCCAATGGCTCACACCTATAATCCTAGCTACTCAGGAGTCAGAGATCAGGAGAATCGTAGTTCAAAGTCAGCCCGGGGAAACAGTTCTAAGGACCCTATCTTGAAAATGCCCCAAACAGAAAAAGGCTGGTGGAGTACCTCAAATGGTATAGCACCTGTCTAGCAAGCATGATCCCCAGAGTTCAAACCTCAGTACCACCCAAAACAACAACAAAAAAACTGTCCCAGCCTTTGCCACTTAAGCCAGAAATATCCTTAACTACAGACATCTGTGTACTATTGGAACCTTCCTTTCTGTACCATGCTTGAGTCCTCCCAAATACATATCCTCACCTCCAGAGTCTTTGCTTCCTCTGACCCCCTTAATATCCAGGTTCTCCATCCCATTCTCTTTGGGCCTCTCCCATGCTGCACTTGCTCCTCCACCTGGAATGACACCTCCAGCAAAACTCTCAAGCTCAGGGAGCTCCCTGCCAGGCCCACGTCCACACAGCAAACAGCCACTAGATATCTCCCCACAGAGATCCCAAGGGCACCTATAGGGTGCTAAACCATGTCCATGTCATAACACCCAGTATCTGTATGTTGCCCTATTTGAAGAAAGAGTTTTCACGAATGTTATTAAGGTAAGGATCTTAAGGTAGTCTTGATTATCCAGATTAGCTGTAAATACAATGACAAGGATTCTTACAAGACACCCAAAGGAAAGACAAAGGGACAATAGGAGAAGACCAAGACAGAGGTTGGTTGTCATAAGCTAATGAATACCAGAAGTCACCAAAGGCTAGAAAAAACAAGGAAGGCTCTCTTTCAGAGAGTTTAGAAGGGCAGCCCTGCAGATACCTTGGTCTTATACTTCTAGTGTTTTAAGCTGTCTAGTTTGTTAATTATGGCAGCCCTGGGAACTAAACAGCACCCTAAACTCAATTTGTCCAAAGTTGAAATCATGGCCCTTCTCTAAGATTGGTCCTCCCAGATGAACCTACCAGTCTCCTGTGGGTTCAACCCAGATATGATTGAACCTCTGCCACCCCCCATCCACTCACCTCCCTGAAACCTCTGGACCTCTATTGCTACCCACCCCTCCAAGGAACTGTGCTTATTTCTAGTCCTCTCATCCTTCACCTATTCTTTCCTAAACCAATCTTGACATTGACCATCAGGGGAAATTCTTCAAAAGCTTCCACCACTGTATGGATGAAGTTCCATTTCTATAGTTTATGGAGCTCTCCAGATCCACATTGGCCAATCTAGAATCCTTCATAGGGCCATCCCTACGCCACTCTACCACCACCTCTCTCACGCGTACAGGGGGTCCATGAATGGGCACGTTCCTTGGTTTAGGGGGGCAAAAGTCCTTCCTATTTGCAAATGAATTTCTTTGCTTCAAACACAGCACCCCTCGGAAGTCTTCCTGACCCCTCAAACCTCAAACATTTAAATTCTCTTAGGTTCTTCAAGCATTATCTCTCAAAGTATAAGGCAACCATCAAAAGATGGAAATCAAGGGCTTGTACAGTTCAGTGGTGCATGCACAAGGCTCTGGGTTTGATTCTCAGTACCACCAGAAACAAAAAAACAAAACAAAAACGCTTCCAAGGGCAAGATCCACATTTACATATCATAATATTCCTAGTGCCCAAGGCAAAAATAAATCAACAACTCTTTGTGGAATGAATAAATGCTTTTTGGATCTGGCTATCTTAAAACTGACAGTGAGTGTTCTCTGGGGATTTCATCTGCCTGCCACAGACAAAGCCCATTTAGCTCAGTCACTTAGCAAACATTTCCTAAATGTTGTCTCTGTGATCCACATAGCAAGTAATCTGGAAAGGAGGTGGTCTTGTTTGGAGCAAAATGGGAGGCCAGAGGATGGACTGAGGACTGCAGCCCCACCAAGCTTTTATAGGGCTGGTCATATGCAATTTGGGCTCTCAGGAGTAAACAGAAGTTTAAGTGGGAGGATAGTTTTTAAGGAATAAGAATTAATGATTTTCTATCTTTAGTTGGAAATCCTCATAACTAAATTCCACCCAATCATAAGGACTAATCAAGTACAAAGGTTTACACCTTAAGAAATAAAATCTTGAAGGGCTATAGGGTGAGTGGAACAGAACTAAGAAAAGAGGGTAGATAAAGAAGAGCCACTTGCTCAACCAAGCCCTAGAATGAGTCACTGGTCAAAAGATGTTGGCTAAAGTTATGGAAACAGCCAAGATGCCCCACCACTGACTAATGGATTAAGAAAATGTGGTATTTATACACAATGGAATATTATGCAGCCATGAAGAAGAACGAAATGTTATCATTCGCTGATAAATGGATGGAATTGGAGAACATCATTCTGAGTGAGGTTAGCCTTGCTCACAAAACCAAAAATCGTATGTTCTCCCTCATATGTGGACATTAGATCAAGGGCAAACACAGCAATGGGATTGGACTTTGAGCACATGATAAAAGCGAGAGCACACAAGGGAGGGGTGAGGATAGGTAAGACACCTAAAAAACTAGCTAGCGTTTGTTGCCCTCAATGCAGAGAAACTAAAGCAGATACCTTAAAAGCAACTGAGGCCAATAGGAGAAGGGGACCAGGAACTAGAGAAAAGGTGAGATCAAAAAGAATTAACCTAGAAGGTAACACACACGCACAGGAAATTAATGTGAGTCAACTCCCTGTATAGCTATCCTTATCTCAACCAGCAAAAACCCTTGTTCCTTCCTATTATTGCTTATACTCTCTCTACAACAAAATTAGAAATAAGGGCAAAATAGTTTCTGCTGGGTATTGAGGGGGTAGGGTGGAGAGGGAGGGGGAGGAGTGGGTGGTAAGGGAGGGGGTGGGAGCAGGGGGGAGAAATGACCCAAGCCTTGTATGCACATATGAATAATAAAAGAAAAAAAAAAGATGTTGGGTAGCATTTTACCTCCTGTTTAATCCTGCTTTTCTCTAGCATTCGCCAAATGCTGACAAAATCCCTCTTGCATGATTGCATGATAGCCTTTGACCTGACCTCAGCCCTACTCAGGAATGTGCCCCCTCCTAGTCAGTCATTTCTGTGGGCAACTTATTTCTCTCTCCCTAAACCTTCAGCTTTACCTGTCTCCCTGACACCCATCAGCTTGCTCTGCCTTTTGCCAAGGACATTAATTAAACTAATTCCCTTCTCTAGAAACTAGCCTTTGAAACCCCTTAATTTAAAACACCTTGTTTGGGAGCCTCATTTCAAATCCTTTATAAGTGAGTAGTCTTTACAGGTGCAGTGGAAAGTAAAAAAAGAGCACATTGGGAGTAGCCTTGAGGGTCATCTAGCCCCTTTTTGGGTGTGAAGAACATTTTTTGCTTTTTGTTTTGGCAGTACTAGGGTTTGAACTTAGGGCCTAATGCTTGCTTACAGGCACTCTACCACTTGAGCTACTCCACCAGCCCGTTTTTGTGTTGGGTGTTTTCAAGATAGGGTCTTGTGAACTATTAGCCCTGGCCCAGCTTAAAAATCAGGATTCTCCTGATCTCTGCCTGCTGAGTAGCTAGGATCACAGACAAGCAACACCTGCACCTGGCTGTGAAGAGCAGTTTTTGTTGTTGTTTTTTTCCCTGATAAAATGCAAAGCAATTACTTTACCTTTACGACCTACTAGCTGTGAAAACACCATTGGATCTGACCTCCCTTGCAGGAACTCCACAGTGATTGGGAAACACTGATTTAATCAAACCCTTCAGTTAGGGGTGAGCTGATCAGCTTTCTGAGGCAAGGTCAGTGGCACAAGTGAAAGAGTAAGTAGCTGGATGAGGGGAGGCCCAGAATCCACAAATGAACAAAGAAGTGGAAAGAGACTCAGCCAGGAGCTGCTTGGGTAAGAGTTTGCATTTCATTCTAAAAACCCAGAAATCCCTTTCAGAGTTTTAAGCAAAGGATTAACTGGGTATGATTTACAATTTTAAAAGATTCTCTGGTTGCTGCAGAAAAGAAATGGTCTGAAAAGAAATGAGTGGAAGAGAAAGTGTGTTTTGCAGCCTGTATGCCCAGTTTCCAGCAATGCACTGCCTTCAGAAAGTCCACGATACTGACACTACTTGCTGGGGGTAGAAAGTCATTTGCACTGTGCATGGTAATTAATTCTCCTGGCGAGCCAGTGGGGAAGATTGCTTTGCCAATTAGATTCAACTGGCCTGTAAGTCCAGGCCACAAGGTCACCGCAGGAAGGAGCTGGGGCACAGCAGTCACATACACCTGCTAGGGCCCTGAACAGATCAGACACCTGACGGCAGGCCTAGTCTAGGGACGAAGCTGGTCACTAAAAATGAGATGAGTGTTGAGGAGACCATGAAATAGCTCTGGAGACTGAAACCCCCTTCATGTCCCTTCCGGTTCCGGTTCAGGAGAATCTGTGAGCACAGGATTTGTGAAGCTCGCAATTCTGCAACCCCAAAGGTCCCGGGGTCATCACAACTAGACCTCCTATGGTCTCTGCCTGGCTAAGTAGGACTTCATCACTACCCTCTCAGAGCCTACAGACCCTGAAGCCCTTCCCTAGGTCTACCAGATCCACCTTCGGTAGCCCCAGAACGCCACAATTCAGGGTGTGTGCTGCCCACCTGGTCTCCTTGCCATAAAGAATGCGCTTCACCTCCCGCAAATCTGCGAGAGGCAGGTGCTTCTCCAAGCACTGCTCCAGTGACTCCAATTCAGGTCCTGCCATAGCTGAAGCCCGCAAGCGCTGATGTCCGACCTGCCCTTTGCCCCCAGGAGGAGGAGGAGGAGGAGGAGGCAGCGGGTGGAGAGACCAGCACGCGCGCTTTGCACTCTACTTCTGGGGGCCCTGGGCGGGGAGAGCTCACGTGCGGACACGCCCCTTCCTGACGCCTCCCGGGGAGCGGCCAATCAGCGCTGCAGAGCCTCGCGGGTGGTACCGCCCCTTCCCCTTCGTGCCTCTGTTGCCACGCCCCCTCCACGGCGGATCCGCCCAGAGCCCTCGCGCCTCGGGCGCATGCAGCAAATGGAGTCCGCTGCTTCCCGCCTTGTTCAGAGGCCGAAGCACTGGGGGACTTGGCTGTCCTCCCCCTTCCTTCAGGAGTCTCCCAGCAGCGCGGGCGGGACCCTGGAGAGGTGAGCGGGATCTGGGCACGGCCTGGAGTAAATAAATGGTACGGGTCCTGGCGGCACCCGGGTGGCGCGCTCAGCTCGCGCTGGAACTGGTTCCCGCCCCGCCTTGTTCTCCTTTCAACAGAATGGGACGGCAAGCTGTGCAAACCCATTTCGCAGGACCCAACTGCTGAGGGAAGTAGGGATGGGTTTTAGTGTCCCTTGGGCAGGAGGCAGCACTTATAATTTCCGGGGCCTTTTATGTCTGAGGAGTCCCAGCTCCCTGGGGCCAGGCCCGGGATGCTGTGTACGGTGGCTCGGGAAGTAGGACTTGGCTTGATCCAAAGCTCAGGTGACCCTCATGCACCTTCATGGAGTCAGTACTGTAGGATGCAGCATCTCTCTGCACCCTGGTACCACCTTCAGCTCCGCCCTCTGCAGTAAGTGTGCCAACGAGAGCACTTTGTGGGGGCTGCGTTAGGCTTTTTGCAGAGGGTAGAGGTGAGAGCCCCTCCTGCTGTTACAGCCTCTGATCCAGAGGGTGCTAATCACTCAGGAGCCAGAGGAAGGACCTCTTTTCAACCCACTGAGATTTGAGACAGCAAGGCCAGCCTTCCTGTGGCAGGCAGCATGGTGGTGGAACCAGTCTTCCCAAACCTTGGTTCAGCCACTTTCAAACTTGTGACCCCAGGAAAGTTACTCAGTCACTTGGACATCTGTTGCTTTACCTGTAAAACTGGAATGCAATGACTACCTTATTAGAGTTGTTTAAGAGTAAGATAAGGGCTGGGGGTGTAGCTCAGTGGTGGAACACCTGCTTGTCATGCTGAAGGCCCAGGCTTTGATGCCCTGCACTAAACACACACGCACATGTAACCACAAACTTTAGATATTTAAGTTTTAGTCATTGTTTTTTTTTTTTTTAAGGTTAAATTTGTGTATTCATTTAATGCATGGTTAACATGGAAAAGATTATAGTGTATCACTTGAGCTACACCTTTACTGGTTGCTTTATTTGCATTTTTCTTTTTTTTTTTTTCATTTTTCTTTTATTATTCATATGTGCATACAAGGCTTGGGTCATTTCTCCCCCCTGCCCCCACCCCCTCCCTTACCACCCACTCCACCCCCTCCCTCTCCCCCCCCTCAATACCCAGCAGAAACTATTTTGCCCTTATTTCTAATTTTGTTGTAGAGAGAGTATAAGCAATAATAGGAAGGAACAAGGGTTTTTGCTGGTTGAGATAAGGATAGCTATACAGGGCATTGACTCACATTGATTTCCTGTAGTCATTGTTTTGATGTTAGCTTACAGTATTTGTTATATGATGGAGCTGCCTTTTCAAGAATGCAAATTCTGAGGGTTTCCTGTGTCTAACACTTTGCCTTAAAGGCAATGTAAAGAAGGGGAAGAGGTATCTTTTCTCCATGATTTAGAGACAAATTTGTTTAAAACAGTTGGCCCTCCATATTTGCAGGTTCAGCATCCATACATTCAACCAATCTCTGATAGCAAATACTCCCTCTCAAAAATTGTGTCCATAATATGTACATAACATTTTTTGGGGGGCAGTACAGAGTTTGAACTCAGGGCCTTCCACTTGTTCTACCACTTATGCTACACCTCCAGCCCTTTCTACTTTAGTTATTTTTCTGATGGGGTCTGGTATTTTTGCCCAGGGGTCAGTCTTGGACCTTGATCTTACCTATGTCTGCTGCTTAGCTGGGAGAACAGAGTTGAGGTGACGTCTTGCTAACTTTTTTGCCCAGGTTGGCATAGAGGGTGATCCTCCCACGTCTCTGCTGGGATTGAATAGCTGGGATTACAGGCATAGACGCCCACGTCTGGCTAGAATTTTTTCTTGTCATTATTCCCTAAGCAATACAATGTAACAACTATGTTTATAGCGTTCATATTGCATTAGGTATTATAAGTAATCTAGAGATGAGTTGAAGTACATTGCAGGGGGCTGGGGACATGACACAAGAGGTACATTGCTTGCCTATCATGTGAAGGGCCCTGGGTTCAATCTCCAGTACTGCAATAAATAAATAAATAAGTTGATGTATATAGCTCATATGTAAATACTTCACCATTTTATATAAGGAACTTTTTCTTCCATGATTTCCAGGACCCCTCAGGAGTCCTAAACCAATCTAACAAAGATACCTACTATATTTATAAATGGAGCAGATTTTAATAATGTGATATAAAAAGCTATACATATGCTATGGAGCACAAACTGAGAAAAAATGGGAAAGGCCTGAGTTTTCCATCTTTGAGGAGAAGCAGGGATGGCAGATTGAGAACATGACTGCTCTTGGCCAGATCACTCTGATATTTTATTTTGGCAGGACTGGGGGTTTGAACTCAAGGCCTTGCACTTGCTATGCAGGCACTGTACAACTTGAGCCACTCTGCCCCTCTTGTTTTTTGTTTGCTTTAGGTATTTTTCAAACAGGGTCTTGCTTCATTCTGGGGCCAGCATGGAATGCAATGCTATTTGAGTTTCCCTGTGTAGCTGGGATGATAGGCAAATACCACCACAACCAGCCATTGAATGAGGTGGTGTCTTGTGAGCTTTTTGCTCCAGCTGGCCTTGAATCATGATCCTTCAGATCTCTGCCTCCCAAGTAGCTAGAGTTACAGGCTTGAGCCACCACGCCAGGCTACCCAGGTTGGACCTCTCCAGTAGTCCCTATAGGATCTCTTTTGGAAATTCTGAATCTGGCATGCTCCTGTTTTGTATTTCTTATTTTCCTTGTTATACCTTTTCCCCTCTTACTTGCATATTTCTTTGTTAATTACAAACAGCGGAGTATCCACTCTTTCCACTCTTATTCAATATTGTGCTTACATTCTTAGCCGGAGCAATATAACAAGAGAAAGAAATAAAGGAATACAAACAGGAAAGGAAGAAGTCAAATTATCCCTATTTGCAGATGATTTGATCTTATACTTAAAAATAGTGGGGACACTGGAGTTTACCTTTCCCAGGTAAACTGGGAAAATAATTGCTGCAGAGGATGATAAGATGGCTTAGGAGAAGGCAGGTTGACAACTCAAACCACAGTTGGAAGGTGGAGAAAAGGACTGAAAACACCAAGCTTCTCAAAATAAATTGGTTTAGAGGTCCTCAAGCTCAGCAATGTCTCTTCAGGAACAGTTACTGTCTTCCAGCCTTTAGATGGAATCCTAAAATCTATTGTTACAGAGAAACACCTGTCTAGAGAAATAACAGAAGGGGACTTTAAGGTAGCTGCTCTTCGCTCCCTTCTGAGACATAAAAACTAGATCTGCTTACCTCATCTTGGGCTCGATAGGCATTTCCAGACTCACCTGAAAGCACTTGTATGATAGGTAAATGGGTTAGAAGAAGCTCTTTGTGGCTGGGAAGAGTAAACTTCATCTGGTTAGCTAGATGGTTGTTTCCTAGAGCAGTAAAAACTAGTCTGAAGAAGCTTCCTTGGGCTTATTGGGAAAGACATAAACCATGGCTGTCACAGGAAAGGGCATTAACCTGGAAGGCATATGTTCTGGCAGGAAAGACTTTGAAATGGTGTTTGTGTGTAGGAGGGTATTGTATGTCTTGTCTAGAACATCCTATTTGTGCACCTTTCATTGCCTTTGAGCTTTCTTGTAACTTCTGTTTGTGGAAAACTGATAGTAATGAATAATGATAGTAATTAATGATGATAATAATGAAAAAATACAAATGAATTTTGTGTAGTAGAGAGGCAGCTGGTAATTACACTGTGGATGTTGACTAGTTTTGCATCTGATTGTAACATCCTACATCCTACTAGTTCACTTATTAATGAGCTAAATGGCATCTTTGAGACCTGTATAAAGTAAAAATGAATGGTAGGCTTTGGAAAGTTCAGAGGATGCTTTCCCAGTTTGGATGGGCATAGAAAGTGCTCTTTTCCCTACTCATTGAAGGGCTGCATCTGATGAGAAAATAAGTTATATTAGATAGGTTTATCAACTAGATAATTCATATTTGCAAGGCTTTCCTCCTCTCTGCTGATTAGCCTTTAAGGTGTGGAACTTAAATCAATATAACAAGACTGACCTTTTGACCTTTTTGCTTTAACTAGGTCTTACACCCTTCGGAAAGGTGGTTAGGTTCCATGTCTTAGTTTGAACTAAGAGTCATGCCTTTGGAAATTCAAAGATTAAAGATTGCTTAGGGTTATGGAGGAAATTATCAGATTGATAATGTAAGGGCTGGGGTGTGGCTCAACTGGTAGAGCACCTGCTTGGCAAGCACAAAGCCCTGAGTTCAAATTCAAGTTCCACCAAAAAAAAAAAGAAAAAGATAATGTAAAGAAAGAAATTTTTTAAAATCTGGCAAACGATGAAATCTGTAAAATATCTTGCGTATATTGTACGTTATATCTATGTGTGTACTTACACATATGTGTGCTTACGTGGTATCAAAATAGACTTAGAAATAAATGAGTGCTGATGAATTAAAAAACATGAGCCCAAGTGCTTTTGAAAACAAATTTTTTTGGTTTTGTGAGGCAAGGTCCTTTTGCCTCTGCCTCCTGAATGTTGGGATAAGAGGTGTGCACCACAACACCAAGCACAATTGCTTTTCAAGGTTTACT